CTCCGAATTTGTTAGTCTTCGGATTCATTACAAGGGTCGTGGATGCAAGTTACCCCTGGTTGAACATCACAGTTCCCCCGGCTGCCCCTTCACTGATGTAAAGAAGGCGTCTTCTAAGCGTAAAGTACGCACACTGCAGAACATTTGCTTTATCTGACGTCTTGCCAAGTGGCTACAGCTGTTTCGTCATATGTAGTTTGACGTGCCGCTCCACCATGCCTGCAGGGTTGTCCCGCTTCGTTCCAGCATTTCAGCCACCAAGTCCGGATCTTATTAAGAAATTTATTGATCAAGTAGCAGCTATAGATAAACTGCTTGTACTTACCGGTGCTGGAGTATCGACCGAATCAGGTACCAAAATTTTGAATTTTTTTCTTATAACTTGTTCAGAAAACTAGTCTTTCGCCTCCACTATCTACGGCAAAACCTATTTTTTGAATTTCTACAACTGCCGGGTCCGCGATTCTGTTCTGTTAAATATACAGGTGTTGAATCGGGTTTCATGGACAGAATGATGTACTTCTTTTGGATGTGACCGTTTTTAACTTGGATCTTCTACCATTAGACAGCATCAGAAACCTTTTCGAAGGATCCGGGAGAAAGAAAAGAAATCAGGTAGATTTATCCAAGGAAGCGATCTACTGGTTTGTGCGTCTGTAAGGCTGAGGGCTATAGCGCAGTAGGGGTGGGCGGAGGGTGAGGCATATAGGCATCAGGGCAAGGGAAAGGGGTACGCCTTGAATTCAAAACTTTATATGGAAGAGTTGATCAATTGTCTACTGTCCTGGTGGGAGCACGCAGACGTAAACGTGCCTTTTTCCCACTTACATTTCTGATGAGTGTAAGACCGGACAAAGTTAAAACTTGTAGTGTGGGAAACGCATAGAGCTTTNTTTCAACAACTTTTAGATGGTATTTATTGTAAGAAAATAGCAGCGGAAAATGGAAAATCAATAGATGTGAAGCCTTGCCCCTCTTCAATTCCGATCCCTTCCCTCTGTGTGTTTGTCACGATCACGTGCCATCCTTTTTTCTATGATTAGCAATTCATAGTTAAGGCATCCCGGACTACCGATCAGAAAAGATCGGTCTCTTCGAACGTACCAACTATCGTCCCGTCACCATTCAAGAATTCCTTGCCTCGGAATCTGCCAGAAAACGGTTAGTCGTTATCATTTCTTAGGTCTTTGTTTTGTTAGTGCCTTCTCTTATATTGATCTCGTAACTTCTTTTCGTGGTGTTATCTTTCATCAGGTTTTTCAAGTCGATGTCGTTTTGCTTCTCAGATATTGGTCTCGTAACTTCTTGGCATGGCCAAAGTTCTCAAGTGCACAGTGTAATGAAGCCCATCGAGCGATTGCATCATGGGAACGATCGAAGAAGTTTGTTTGGTTGATCACACAGAATGTCGATGGTCTTCATGCCAAGTGAGTTTTGCTGAATCTTACATTTTTGCCACAGTAACGAAGTTTGACCATCAAACTGACCATATTTTGCTTCACTTTTATGACTTCTTCAAAGATCATATGAACTTGTATTTCTAACTTTGTTTGTCAATATTGTAGTAGTTGAGGGCTGGATCACATATGCTCACAGAGCTGCATGGCTGTAGTCTTCGAGTGAAGTGTTTGGGATGTGGCGAAATAACGAACAGGTATTTGCTCGTTTCAAAATCATATGGGGTTCGTTTTTATTAAAAATATATAAATGGTGTAAAGTAAACGAAAACTATTTAAAGAGCTGATCATCAGCCTCGAATGGAAGAGCTTAATGCTGAGTGGATGAAGGTGAACTTTGCTGGAGAAATGGCTCCTGATGGTGATACGATACTAACTCCAGGTGCCGAACAGGTTGGTACTACCGTAACTTCTTTGAATGCTCTGACTAGTTTTGTGTTTAAGCTAGTTCGGTTTAATTATTTAGAATGGGATGCTGTTTTTGTTACCCTAAATTTTCTTTTTTTGCTTTCCAAAACATTGAACCTTCATTTCCTTCCTTAGTGTCTGATTTCTTGCTATTATCTTTCTGTTCTTCCTTACGTTGATATCAGGTAACTTCCACCAAACCTTTCACTGATTTGTCTTTTCTCAGTTACCCTGACTCATCGTTTCGGAAAAATGGGTTGATTCCGCAGAAGGGGCACTATCTCATATATCACTGACCACGCTAGCGTGAAATAGTGATTTCTTCTGTCTAGATGCGTTTCTATGCTCCCAATTGATTAGAACATCAAAACAACCTCCAAAGCTTTAGTGTGTGGTCATGTGGCTCATTAATAAGAGCCATTCCATATGTCCTTCACAAGCCTTGTTTTCAGAAATAAATTTCAGAAAGCAAGTTGCATTTTGCATCGAAAATTGGATAGCTTTCAGTCATTCGTTTTGCCGGAGTGTCAGAAATGTGGTGGAATGCTGAAAACGGACGTTGTCTTTTTTGGAGATAATGTTAGTCGAGAAGATGTGGACACCTGCTATGAGAAGGTTCGCTTTTTCGAAACTTTCTATTATTTGTTCAGCGGTATTTTCGAGTTTATTATCATTCATTGCTTATTACACCATAACGTTTGTACTGCTTCTCGACCTTCCAGGTCGAAGAATGTACAGGCGTATTGGTGCTGGGCTCATCACTCTACGTTATGTCTGGATTCCGGTTTCCCTATCATGCAAGTCTCATGGGGAAACCGGTGCTTATCGTGAACATAGGTCCTACCCGAGCTGACGAATTCGCTGAAATGCGAATTAGCGCTCCTGTATCAGAAGTAGTAACGAAATTGTAACACTAACGATATACATTGTTAGTGTGAAAGAATTGATTCCAAGATTGTGACACATTTGTAGGTACGCGCAGTGTATTGTGCTAGTAATGACTAGTATAAAAAACCTTGTGGTATGGTTTCGGTATGAAGAATTAGGATTACAAGGTAACGATCTACGAGTCGAAATGTAAATAAAACACGTAAACATTGTTCCCATTCTCTCTAGTCGAATAAATGTATAAGGTGAACTGCGTTGGACTTTGAGAAATTTTATTGGCCATAGGCAGTTGTCACAGGGTATGTGAGAAAAAGCACCTCTTCTAAAGTTGTCTTAGCCACTGAATCGAAAAAGTGACGTAGTATCAAACCGTCAAGAACCAGATTCTACAATTGTAGTAATAGTCTCCTTCAAGTTGATAGCTTCACCCAAGAAAGGCTGTTTTCAGAGAGTTTAGAGGGGTTAATTGAGATTGCCTACCATTATAAAAGTGTTCATAATGTAGCTCATATCGGAAACTTATTGCTTTGAAACCAGTTTTTTCTTTTCTTTTTTTCAGTTTCATTTCCTTTTCCTTTCTTTTTTTGCCTACTTTTCTCCGAATTGAGGTATACCTAAATGCGTTCAGGAAATCTTTGTGCATCGTTCTTTTCCGATTTGCAGGCTTATTGATTAAGTGGCATGATTATAATAGAAGGTGTGGTGAACGCATTTTTGTTTTTTCTTAACAAAAATCAGCATTTACACTTAATTACTCGTTGCCCAAATTTCAACTGTCCTGTGGGGTTCCTCTGTATTTTTGACTCCCTAGCGCATCGTATTTCTTTGGCATGTCTTAATTATCAATGGGACCACCGCACATTACGACAGTTCGAAAAATGAATTTCCTTACACGTAAGCGGTTCCAGGGAATGCAAAAAGTCATGTAATAGTATTTCGAAGAGATTCGGTTTCTCTCGTGTCAATCCTTGTGATGTTATGTATTTTACATAAAACTATTTTATGTAATAGCTTATTACATCGGCTAGGAATTCTACAGTTCTATAGATTGCCTTTATGGATATGTTCCATTAATTGAGGTAAGAACACAGGCAAATTTTCAAGTTGTATCACAGCATTGGTGGAAGTATCATCACCAGGCCTTCATTTGTTATTTGCCAAATCCACATCCTCCGCCACATCCGCCCAGGCCTGGAAAAGATCCAATTGGAAACTTTCAATGTGTTTTGTTTTAAAAGCGATTTTGCCCTCATCAGGGATTGATTTTCGGTCTGTCCACCCTGAAATCTTCCATAACAAAGTTCTGAATCACTCGATTCAAGAACCTCCGACAGGATGCAAAAAAGTACTTGCAATTAGAGCATCTTTCGAATTTGCTGCAACTCACCATATCCACCGAATCCTCCGTAGCCGCCATAACCCAAGCCGTATCCACCATATCCGCCGTATGCTCCATATCCTCCTAGGCCACCATATCCACCAAACATTCCCAGTCCACCAAATCCGCATCCCATTCCTTTAGTACACTGTTATTCGTTTACGATATCAAAATTTCTTTGGCGATTATTCAGTCTACGAGGGAGACATTCGACCATGTGTTTTCTTTTTATGGCTGGACGAAAAATTTGAATAAAAAATTAGTTCTGAATATCATTGCGAACGGCATAGGTATAATTCTATGTAATGCTCCTTTACATTATTCAAAAAACTGATAAAGAAAAAATGAAAAGCACAGAAGTAATACAATGACGGCTATTGTCGCCATCGCAATCGTAAACCGGCGAATATCTTCTTGATCGGATTTCGCTACGGTCAGCCTGATTCCCCGTTATTGAGGGGTCGACTGGATAGTGATAATTTGGCTGAGACGACAAATTCAACTGGTAACTGTGGAGTAGTATGCTAATTAATACACAATCGGTTGGGCACTTATGGGCTTATTCCATAAAGGAACTGAGTAATGTCAAGTGTGCGGTCGTGTGGGAAAGAAAACGAAATTTATCATAAATGATGAATTGGTGATGGATTAAACGATAAATTTTCTGAGCTTTGAAAGAGTGCAGAATTATTCGTTGTTTTCCACTGTAGTAAAGCACTACTGTATGAGAATACAAGTATTTCAACGTACCTAAACCTATTCCGCAACCGAGAAAGAATGAAGTAGTTTCGGCCATGAAAACGGCTAACAAAATCACTTGTAGTAAGAACATCATTTAGAGGGAATATGGGTGTTTTGCTGGTTTATGTAGGCGATGGTCACAAAGCCAACTTGAACCATCCTCACAGGACAAGTACCACTTATGCTATTCATCCGCGCCTCTATGAGGGTTATGTTTATTTTTAGTTGACCGGTGTGTCGGCAATAGGTCCTGGTACTTGAGCGCTTTGGAAAGGGCAATGCCCAGTAGATCTGGGACCTTTTTCGATTATTTTCGTGAATTTTCAAAAACTTGTTATTCTTAATATTATTTTTTGCAGCTCGAGCAATGTACAGGCGTATTGGTGCTGGGCTCATCTCTTACAGTAAATACAGGAAGCAATTATGTTTATGAGGCAGGACTCATGGGTAAACCGGTGCTTATCGTCAACATTGGTCCTACCGCAGCTGATCATATCGCTGATATGCGACTGAGCGCTCCCGTAACAGCGATAATAAAAGATTTGGATAAGGCTATGGTATAAATTGTAAGCACAAAAATTTGTATTGTAGTTTTGACTACTAACTATGTATATTAGTATTAATGACTAGAGACAGTCATCGTTTACTGGTAGGTGCTGTTGTGCAGTATTTCGAGGTGATTACTTACGGTTGAATTGTGATTTTAAAAATACCTATGATGTATTTGTGCTGTATGTAGTCAAATAAAGATTTGCCGTGGTATATGTTGAAATTTTTCGAGGAAACTGTAAAAAGTAGGCGAATGTGAGCTTACGACAAAGCCCAGATCTAACCTAACCCTTCGAAGGTTTGGATATAGGTTATGTGGGTCAAATTTAGAAAATTTTTCATTGTTGGCTGATTTTAGTCACTACCCGAAAGACGTGCTTTGAAGTGTCTGAGTTGGTAATCTGCTTATTTGCTTCTAACGAAGCAGTCGCTCAGGTGAAATGAAAGGGTGAAGAAGTCGAATTGAAGAGGGAAAGAGCTCAGTCAGCATCTCGCTTCTACTCTGGTTCTCTTGGTTTTTTCACATGAATGATGAGCAAGGAAGCATCTCCTGAGAGGAACACTGGTCTAGACAGCCTGTGAGCGTTGAGGTGATCAAGGGCCTTATAAGGTAGTGGTTTGTCCACGGAGTTCCTCTACTTGCTCTCACTTAGCGGTAAGCATAGATCAACTATAAACTTTCCGATCCCCCTCTCGGTAGACCTTGTAAAAAACGTTATTAAGCAACTCTGTCGGTCGCCTAGGATAATCCTTGTTCAACTTACTTCCTGATGTTTGCTCTTTGGTCGTCCCTTCCGCATCACATCACTTTCCTATTTTATGTTGCGAATCACAGATCTAGCCACTCATTAGTAGGAAAGAAAGGAGTTCTAAAGAGTAATTGCCAGAAAGTGTCTCATATCTCTCTTGATCCTTTGTCAAGTGAAAATTGAAGAGACACGGAGATGATGAGTTCATGAGAATTGGTCTCCGTTAGTGAAGTATATTTATATATGTCTGGTAGTGGTGAGAGTCAGAGTGCTGTTAAAGCATATATATCTAAGTTTCAGGCTTGACCAACAGGAAGGCTCCAAATGGTAGAGTGATACCCTGTTGTAGATGCACTCGTACAAGATAATCCTCTCGAGTACGATTCGGAAAAAATTCTCAAGTTCCTGTCCAAGGCCTGCTATGGGTAAGTTACGGCATATGCCAAGGCCTTAGGAGAACTATGACGCTTTCGCCTGAGAATGAGCAAGCTTTTCGAAAGCTTTGCTGAATCTTTCCTTCACAGGTAGCTGGTCGAAAGGTCGACTACCACATTTTGTAAATACCATTCGTGAGCGGGATGTGAGTTCTTCATCAGGTACCGCATTGAAGAAACAACCAAATGGGTTCACAATAATCTCAAAACGAGGGGGAGTTCAGATTCTGGGGGTACCCTTCCATGAATGTTTCACGAATGTTGAAAACAATTGAGTTCTCTGTAATGAGCTTGTGTGGTCTGTATGGAGGGATCGTTGCTCTTGTGAACGTTCAAATCCGTTTTTTAGGCTATCCTGAATCCAATGAATAGCTGAGAACATCCTTTGTATAAGTGGGTATGTTGTCGTTTCTTTCAGGAAAAATTAGATTTGCCTGACAGATTCAATCCTTCACTCCTGATACATTTCAAGGGAGGAAGTCGAGAGGAAATTCAATTTCTCTCGATTTAAACAGCTCAGAATGAAAAGCTAATGTTGTCGGCCCATGGGGAGATGAAGGGATAATCTCGATATAACTAAAAGCTGAGGTACGTAATTGCGCGATCACGGTTACTGTAGCGACTTCCTTATAAGTCTTCAAAAATTGGCCACTCAAGCGTAGTCTCATTGTCTGTCTCAATTATCTGCACTGCTATGTTTTCCGTTCCTTCATCACGAACCTCTCTCCTTCCTCGTTTTTCTCTTTATTAGCCCATGAAAGCTGCCTGTCTAGGAAACTTGTCCCATTAATTTCCATCCCCTTCAAAGAAATGAGCCGGAATTTCCGAAATAGTGCTAAAACTAAAAACAATTTTAAAAAGCGAAAATAACTCGCCGATATAGGGAAAATCTCCCGTGCATTATCACTTCCAAATTGTAGAATATCTCCTCGGCTAATTCTCGATATTATGCTAATATTTATCGATTTATTGATTGATCATTGAGTTTTGTAAATTTTCAATGTTTATTAAAAGCTTATACTGTACACAAGCAAGAGATCACGGAAAAAACCAAATAATACAACCCGTAAGTGGCAATATTGTTAGGTTAAATTCATCGCTACCGTAATCAGACTCTTGTGAAGCACCAACATTACCCATGACACTCTGACACGAGGAAAGCAATTGTCAGAAATGAGAATACGGTAGCAAAACATACTGTAAGATAATGCTAATCATTAGAAGAAACAGTAAATAATAACGAGAATTTCGTAGAACGAGAGATTTGCGATAACCATATGCAAGAATTGAGCATCAATATTATAAATAAATAGAGATGTAAAAGTAAAATGTATGAGAAAATTAGAACGATAGCCTTGACCTGGACAAGGCTTTCTTTGGTAAGAACATTAAGGCTGTCCGGAGAAACTTTGGGATTAATCTGCGACTGATATGAATCGTATGAATTTAATACTATAAACACGGGTGTAAATGTCCAGGAAGTGATATCAAACAACAGAGTCGTAATGTTCTAGTAAAGGAAACTCGTCACAAAGTTGGACGAGTTATTCGTGTACGGCGGATCTGCTGAGAAGATTTGTGTCCACAAGTGGACGAGATATGACCGACTGTGGATAAATGGTGTCGTCAATTTGAGTGATTTTTTGATGAGCCGCAGCATTGATGCTCAATTTGACTATGTAGCCTGCCTAAACGAGACTATGCAATGGCCATAATAAAAATTGGTTCACGCAAGTAGAAGGAAAACGAAAGCCAAGCCCAAGCCTACTGTTGGTTAGTTATTTACAATTCCATCTCAATACAACTCTCTCCACCTATTTTCCCATGCGGGAGTCATTTCAGTTCAATTGAATTATTTTGCTTAGACAGTGAGGTTACAGACACAGGTATCGCCTCACTTGGACGAATTCATTCTGATTCCTATGTGCAAGAACCCCATATCAGACTCAACTAGGCTGTGGGAATGTTCTTTTTCTTGGGACTCGTGGTTATTCTCCAATTTAAACCAGGGATCAAAACAATTAATGAAAAGGATTGGGTTTTTGTTGGATTTTGGTTTTGATTAAGTTAAAAAAAAAACCTATTTTCTCAGAAGGTGCTGGTTTGTATGCCATATAATTACTTATAAACACTACAGTATTTGAAGAAGTGATATCCTCAGGAATTCCTCGAAAACCAACCTGAACAGCTATTACAAGTAGTAGAGCGATGCATAGTAACCATGGAGCGAAATGGTATGGGCATGGATCGGTGATAGGCTGAACATTCACCTGGAAAGTATAAAAATAGGACCTCAAAATGGAAAAATTGGTGAAAAAAGAAGGAGAATTGGATAACTCCAAAGAAATCTTACCGTTTGCTGATCTGCTATCGCATGAGATATCACAGGCTCTGCACAATCGCCTTTTTCTTTCTGAAACGTACGAGCTCATTAGATGTTCAAGTAATTCGAGTAAAATGAACAATCACTGTGGGCCTGTGCTTCTACGAAACCTACAATGTTAAAAAGCTTTTTTACACTTACAATTGTAGTCCGATAACAGCACAATATGTCGGTCGAATTTGCTACCGGTCGCATTTTATCCTTTTCCGCTTCAGCCCAATCGCAGGTAATCACTTAAAGAGAATTCCTCAAGGAGATTTCATAAAAGTTGATACTTATAAGACACAATTTCAAAATTCACAACTCGAGCTCTTGGAAGAAATTAGCTGTGACTGATTCAGGTGAAAAGTCTCTCACCTGTCCCACATTCGAGCATTTTCAGATGTTGAGCTGAGCAGAGTGGCATCGAATCTTCCGGGACAGCCAAATAGTCCGTACACAAGTTTTTACAGTACACCGTTCTCATGACGTCACAAGCACATCCGGCTACTGTACAGAGAAGCACAATGATATGAGCCTTCATCTGGAAAGAATATGGTATGGGATTGGAGTAATACCAAGTGTAAGTTGAAGCGAACAATGATCGGTTGAGAAAATTGGTTTGGGAAAAGCAAAAGAATGCGGTGATATGGGAAAATTTCCCATTGCGAAATAAAACATGGGCCTTCTGTGGGAGGTTCCTGTAAAAATGTGGCTATAACATCAGAACTTCTGAGGAAACTCGAAAAAATTCGACCGTTGGAAGGAACTATAAGAAACTTCTGAACTTAGCCATATGGAGGTTTCTCCTGTTTTTTCAAACAATTTGTACAAACATTAAAAACGAGATAATTGAGGTTTTTTTTTCAAGCAGTAAGACATTAGGAGAAAACTTAGCCGTAACTGACGAGTGAATGCTGAATACAAATGAGCCCCTGAGGAAAAAGGTAAAAAAATCAGAAAGAAGGTAATGGATTTTTTATGTTTCGAATGAGTGTTGGTGATATTAAAGAGCGAATAGAATAGTCCCTCACCGGAAAGTCACGTACAATGAAGTCCCAACCAAAAAAAAACTCAAGATTTACTCAGCCTATCCAGTGACTATAGGAATTCTTCGATAGTAATGCTAGTCGGAAACCAAGGACCCAAGGACCACCCGTGTCTGCAGTTCTGGCTCATTTGAGAGTTTTGAATGTGTTCTTTGTAAGGGGTATGCGGAACGACAACTGCCACATGTGAGGGGGTGAGTGGCCAGATATATCGAATGATCTTTGTGCGACCTCTCAGAGCAGTTGCCTCAACCACTGATTACCTTTTTTTCCCTCTCGTCCACAGCAAATCGTCTATTCATAATCATTATCCCCAGACGCTCTATAGCCCACCAAATCTATACCCGGCACCGAGAGCTAAGGCTGCGGCCCTACTCCTCCCGCCTTCAACTGTTCTTTTGTTTTCTTTCTATCATGGACGGACTTCTGACTATCCTGTATTCATTTTTAGCCCTCACTCAATCTTCTCACCGAATGCCTTTTTTCAGATCTACATTAAACCAACAACTCCAAAGAGTAGTCGTCTATACCTAACGAGTTGGGTCGCCGGCTAGCGCTGGGCTTCATGCCTTCTTATGATAGAGTTGTGATAATAGGCAAACTGCTCGCTTCTCCTTTGGAACAATTATTACTTTTCAGAAACATAACACAGGGCTGACAGGGCATGCAAGTGGTATTCAAAATATATCGAAGCTTACGCCAGTAATCAGAATTCTCGATCTGTTGCTGTTCATCTTGAAAATAATGACCCACTGAAGGTAGAACTGGTCCGGATTAAATATTTTCGCTCCCGCCCCGCCCCTTGTGAGCGAAACTTAGTGCCTTCACCTACCCTTATTGACTATCTTGCCTTCTGTACTACTAGCAACTTTCGGCACTCTAGGTCCAATCTGACATTTTTGAACAAGCTCCACCCCCTGTGGCGGGACACAGTCGTACTAACTAACATTATGAAGTTTTTCCACCCTACCTCCTGTATTCCGACTAAAACAAAGTCTCTAAGTCCGCAGACATCGGAGTAATGAACTCCCGGTTGAACACACCGTACATACACAGAGACAGACAACCACCAGACACTATATTTATATAGTAACATTCAAGGCGGTCAGGCCACTTCCTGAGAACAGAAGAGAGGCGTTAACGGCTGGCAGGGCGGTTCTACCTCGAGGCTTAAGGGAAAGCGCTGCACCGGGCAATGTCAAGCGAGGAACGAACGCAAGGCATCCACGGCTAATGGGCCACTTCACTGAGAACAGAAGAGAGGCGTTAACGGCTGGCAGGGCGATTTTACTTCTACGCCCGGTGGATCGGCTAACGTCGGACTTCCTTCTTCTTATGATAGAGTTGTGATAAACGGCAAACCCTGATCGGCTAACGTCGGACTTCCTTCTTCTTATCGTCGGACTTCCTTCTTCTTATGATAGAGTTGTGATAAACGGCAAACCCTCCGCTCCTTCTTTTGAACAAATGGTACTCTTTGAACAGGAAATTTGATAGGGGACCGACAGGGCATGCAAAAGTTGTTCAGTATGTGCCGATGTTTATGCCCATAAACAGAAGCCTTGATGCGTTGCAGTTCATCTTGAAAAAAATGACCCACTGAAGGTTGAACTGGTCCAGATCAAATATTTTCGCTCAGCCACGCCCCTTTGTGGGTGGACTCTAGTCCTGCCTTCTCTACTCCTACTGAATTTGAACTCTCAAGGTCCGCGGGGAACAAGGGTTATAA